GGCCTGTGGCATTCTGTTTTGGGGAGCCCTGGCTGGGTCACTTACTCACTACAATGGGGAAGTGTGGGCTGGGCTGGAAGTCACAGTGACTTCCAGGCTCTGTGGATTCTAGCTGCTGGCTCCGTGGCGCGTGGCTGGCCACACAACCTTCCCTCTCCTCGGGTGTGAAGAAGGCCTTGTGGAGAGGAGGTTTCGGCAGCCAGGCTGCCACCTAGCGGCCATCCAGTGGTGACCTTGCGGCAATTCGGCTGTGACCTTGTGGCCATCCAGACACGACCTTGAAGCAACCAGGTGCTAACCTTGTGGCAATCTGGCAGTGACCTTGCAGCAACCAGTTGAGACCTGGCAGCAATCTGGCTGTGACCTTGCAGCAAGCCAGCAGTGACCTTGCCGCAACCCAGCTACAATTCTTGTTTCCACCCAATGATGACCCATTGGCAACACAGCCATGAGCCAGGCCACCCGGACACTCATAGGCTGCCAAACACAAGGCGTCCAGGCAAAATCCTTGCAGGTACTTCATGTGCAAGGAAAGCGATGCAAATTAGCTTGTTGTTATTTACCTATAGCTTCAGCATTGTCCAACCATAATTGGTACCCAGAATGGAAAGGAGCCCATGTGTCTGCACAGGATAGACTCTTATCCTCACGATCCTCGGCCCAAGCACAAACCTTCCTTCTGCTCATCCATTTAAAGTGAGCCCCTCATCATGGCCTCCTGCCCTGGAATCTTTTTTTTTTCCCCCTTTTGGTCTGTCAGGGGACTTGAACTCAGAGCCTGGGTACTGTCCCTGAGCTTTTTCACTCAAAGCTAGTGCTCTACCCCTTTGAGCCACAGCTCCACATCTGTTTTTTTTTTTTTTTCTGGTGTTCATGGACCTTCTTGCTCAGGCTGGCTTCAAACTAAGATCCTTAGATCTCAGCCTCCTGAGTAGCAAGGATTATAAGCATGAAACACCAGTGCTTGGCTTTTTTTTTCTTCTCATTGTTGTTTTCTTTTCATGTTTTAAAATTGTCATTTATTGTTACTGTTTTCTGAGACAGGGTTTCACTATATAGTCCAAACTGGTTCACAAACTACTACATCCTCTATATCCCCCCCCCCCAATCTTCTCTCTCTCTCTCTTTTTTTTTTTTTTAATTTTATTTTATTTTATTTGAGAACATACTGTACAGAGGGGTTACAATTACATGGGCAGGATAATGCATACATTTCTTACCAAGCATTGCAGCCTCCTCCTTTGACTCTTTTTTTTTTCAGTCACGGGCCTTGAACTCAGGGGCTGGGCTCTGTCCCTGAGCTCTTTTGTTGAAAGCTAGTGCTCTACCGTTTTGAACTACAGTCCCACTTTTTTGTTCTGATGGTTTATTGAAGATTAGAGTCTCATAGACTTTCCTGCTTGAGCTGGCTTCACATCAAGATCCTCAGATTTCAGCCTCCTGAGTAGCTAGTGTTACAGGCATGAGCTACTGGTGCCCAGCTCAATCTTCTGCCCTCTTGACTTCCATCCTTTTCAATAAAGGGATCCCTGGTAAAGATGCCACATCAAGACTCTCTCCTCGGGCTGGGAAGGTGGCGCAGTGGTAGAGCGCTTGCTTTGCATGCATGAGGCCCTGGGTTCGATTCCTTAGCACCACATAAGCAAAAAGAAAAAAGCCGGAAGTGGCGCTGTGGCTCATGTGGTAGAGCGCTAGCCTTGAGCTGAAGAGCTGAGGGACAGTGCCCAGGCCCAGAGTTCAGGACTCATGACCGGACCCAAAAAAAAAAAAAAAAAAAAAAAAAGATTCTCTCCTCTTTCTTCAGTGAAAATAACTGTATCTCTGACACAGACAATAAAGTCCCCACAAGAAAAGAATCAGATTTCACCAAGTTGGGAAGCACATTGGACTTCTAGGTTAAGTTCTAATTTGCTGGGTAAAGGGTCGGCATCTTAGTCATCCATAGAAGGTTCCTAGAAAGTAGAAGACATCTCTGACTTTCAGGACAAAAGAGCAGGTCTGACAGGCTGGATTACTTTGCCATTCCTATCAATGGCTCTTCCCTAGGTACAGACAGAAAATATCTGAATGGCCTCCAGTATTGTCAAAGCACAAAATTCGCTGTGAGTTCTCCCCATAGCTACCAAAACTGCCTCAAAATTCCCTTTCCAGCTTATTGGTGCCAACTCATGGTCTAACACATCACCTTCTGCCACTAGGGACCTCCTGGCTGTGTGGGCCTTGCCAAAGATAGAGACTCCACATTGCTGCTTTCTGTGTAAGTCACCAGGATGCAAAAACCTCAGGCTTATCTTTGAGTTCTTTCTTTCCCGCCATATCTAACTTAGCCATGTCCTGTTCACAGTCTTTCTCCCATCTCTGGAGGCCTTCCTTTTCAACTCCATTACAACCTTTTCTGTGGAATGATGAACCATTTTGGAAATAGACAGTGGCTATAATTTTTCCATGCTGCAAATGTTCTTCACGCCACTGAATTATACATGTAAGCATGGTTCCAATAGTAAACTTTAGACCATGTATATTTTGCTACAATAAGAAAAAGCCCCCACTGGTAACCATTTATGTGATGCAAGTTCTTAAGGACCATGGCCTGGACTTCTGCTGGTCTTTGAGATGATCTCCCAGAAGCCAGCATCATCACATCCCACTGTTTTACACAGCACAGCCTATAATCTTCTATCACGAGACTTCTATCTTCAACAAATTACTTTTTGTAGACACAGACTAGTTCCGTAGCTGAATATGTTTGCTCATTGCTGTGACACAATGCTTGGCTGACACGATCTGAGGATTGATTTTGGCTCATGGTTTAGCAGTTCCGGCACACCATCTTTGCCTACGTTTATTTTGAGCCTACAGTGAGGCAGAACATCATGGCAGAACAGGAGCTTTTGGGGGAGGCTGATGACCTCATGGTGGACAGGAAGTAGATAAACTCAGGACCAGGCATGACCTGCAAACACATGTCTCCAGTGACCTACCTCTGAAAGTTTCTAGAGCCTTCCAAAACAGTGCTACCTTCTGGGGACCAAGCCTTACACACACGAGCCTGCAAAATCATTTCCTATTTTAACCACTACTCATCCAATGTCAGACCTTTCACCATGTATTATCGACCACATTTAAATTTTATCTTTTGCTAAACTTCTTTCCCTGATGGATGTTGGCTGCTCAGTTTGGTTTTGGCTTTAATATCAGAAAGATGTTGTGTATATTCAGGTGTAAAGCTACTTGCTCTTTTTAATTTTGGTGGTCCTGGGATGGAACCAGGCAGGGGGGCTTGTGCAAGCAACCCCACCACTGCACATCCAAACAACCACAGTGCACGTCCAGACAACCCCACAGTGTACGTCCAGACAACCCCACAGTGCACGTCCAGACAACCCCACAGTGCACCTTCAGACAACCCCACAGTGCACATCCAGACAACCCCACAGTGTACGTCCAGACAACCCCACAGTGCACGTCCAGACAACCCCACAGTGCACCTTCAGACAACCCCACAGTGCACATCCAGACAACCCCACAGTGTACGCCCAGACAACCCCACAGTGCACGTCCAGACAACCCCACAGTGCACGTCCAGACAACCCCACAGTGCACGTCCAGACAACCCCACAGTGCACGTCCAGACAACAGCACAGTGCACGTCCAGACAACCACATAGTGTACCTTCAGACAACCCCACAGTGCACGTCCAGACAACCCCACAGTGTGCGTCCAGACAACCCCACAGTGCACGTCCAGACAACCCCACAGTGCACGTCCAGACAACAGCACAGTGCACGTCCAGACAACCCCACAGTGTACCTTCAGACAACCCCACAGTGCACGTCCAGACAACCCCACAGTGCGCATCCAGACAACCCCACAGTGTACCTTCAGACAACCCCACAGTGTGCGTCTAGACAACCCCACAGTGTACATCCAGACAACCCCACAGTGTGCGTCCAGACAACCTCACAGTGCGCGTCCAGACAACCCCACAGTGCATGTCCAGACAACCCCACAGTGCACGTCCAGACAACCCCACAGTTCACGTCCAGACAACCCCACAGTGCACGTCCAGACAACCCCACAGTGCACGTCCAGACAACCCCACAGTTCACGTCCAGACAACCCCACAGTGTGCGTCTAGACAACCCCACAGTGCACGTCCAGACAACCCCACAGTGCACGTCCAGACAACCCCACAGTGTACCTTCAGACAACCCCACAGTGCGCGTCCAGACAACCCCACAGTGCACGTCCAGACAACCACACAGTGCGCATCCAGACAACCCCACAGTGTACATCCCAACAACCCCACAGTGCACGTCCAGACAACCCCACAGTGTGCGTCCAGACAACCCCACAGTGCACGTCCATACAACCCCACCAGGGCACATCCAGACAACCCCACAGTGCATTTCCAGGCTCACAGGTCGATCCCCAGCTATCATCCCATCCGTCCCCATAGAGTGTTCCCTGTCAGGGAAGCGTCTTCCTCCCCAAGGTGTCAGGGTTTAATGTTTTTACCTGTCTATGGTTTCAGAAACTCCATTTGATCATGAGGATTTCATCATCAGTTTGGGATTATTTTAGGTAGGAGAGAAGAGTTGGTGGGAAATGGCAGGTACTTATCGTAGAAATTACAAACCTCTGAAGGTGTATATTATTTGCCCTTTTTTTTCTTTAGTGCAGGAACCAGGACTTGAACTCAGGGCCTGAATGCTGACCCTGAGCTTTATTTGTTCAGTTAGTGCTCTACCACTTGAATCACAGCTCCACTTGCTTTTTTTTTTGGAGGTTAATTGGAGATAGGAGTCTCAAACAATTTTCTACCCTGGCTGACCTTGAACTATAATCCTAAGATCTCAGCCTCCTGAGTAGCAGCTACATTATAAGCATGAGCCTCTGGTGCCTGGCTCCTGTTGCTTAATTTGCCCGGCTCATTTTGCAGCACAGCTTTAACCAGAAACCCGGGTTGTTTGCAGCCCCAGGGCATTTGCAGCACTAACCTTGCAGGAGCTGGAGGAAGCGGGGCTGCAGCGAGGCGGGGATCACACGCTCCGGCAGCAGGCGCAGGAAGAGCTTCAGCAGGCTGGCGGCTGCACGCACCTGCTCCTCCCCCTGTGCCCCCAGCTGCAGATGCACCCCATTTTCCATCTGCATCCGCAGGTGTTCCACCACCTTCATGTTCCCATTCACCCTGAACAAGCCTTCCTGGGTGAGCCCTGAAACACCAAGGGGGGGACAGGAAATAATTCCTCATCATCTTCTATAAACAAGCATGAATCTTCAAATAAAAACCCACAACTGAAATGCATCAATCTCAGCCTAGGAGTCTGAGAATATGATTATAGGGAGATTTTCATATTTTACAAAAGAAAGTTTTCTTAGAAAAATGAGTGTTTGCCAGACACTGGTGGGTGGCTCACACCTGTAATACTAGCTACTCAAGAGGCTGACATCTGAGGATCGCAGTTAGAGGCTGGCCTAGGCAGCCAAGTCCTCAAGGAGGACTCTCTAATGAGCCAGCAAAATGTTGGAAGTGAAAGGGTGGCTCAAGTGGCAGAGTGCCAACCTGAAGAGAAAAAGCTAAACAAGAGCGAGTTCAAGCCCCAGTACCACCGTGCACACACACACACACACACACACTTACACAAATGTTTTGACATCCACTAACCATGAACTAAAGAGAACATACATGAATATTAGAAAAAAAAAAGTAAAAATAAGGCAATATTCAGAGAACACGCAGTGTTATTTAAAGAAGTTTTAATGGTGTAATCTTACACGGTACTCGCATTCCAGGAATGTGTGGAAGTAAGTGATGTGGAAGAAACTTCTGAATTCTATCTGCGATTATTATGAGTTGGGGTACAAGGGCCCCAGCTCTAGGAGTCGCTCTACACTGAGCTTAGCCAGTGGTCCCAATATACCAACTAGAGACGGTGGTAGGACCCCAAACAGCTGGTCCCTAGAGACTGTGATAAAACAGAGCAGAAGGGGTGGAAAGACGCTAAATGATGGACACCAAAATAGACAGGAGGGGTTATTTCTAGCTTCCCTGTAGCAAAGAGGGTAGCTCTTGCTTAAAGAATTTGGTGACTTTTATTTCACAGTGCTAGAGATCAAAGAAAGGGCCTTACACCTGCTAGGAAAGCCCTCTACAGAAACCAAAACAAAGGTTGCTGGATTTGAAAATGACTGGAAAAGAATATAAAATGTCCAATACGAAGATGTTTGAAGAGACAGAAATTTCACTATCGTGTATTGCACATATGTATCAACACCCTAACGTGTCTCATGAAGATGGACAAATGTTATGTCTCTTTTAAAAAATGTCTATTTCTCCAGGATAGTATACACCTATACATTCTGTACCTACCAAGGTGAGGAAGAAATGTCACTTGAATTCAGGAGTTCAAGACAAGCCTGACCACAAAGCAGGACTGTCTCTTCCTGTACCTCTAACCCCCTCCCCGGGCCCTCTCTCCAGGGTGTGCACAATGTATGTGGCAGGCGCTGCTTCTCCCTGATCCCTGCACCTCTTGATATCATACACAACGCTGCAGTGGAAGGAGGGCTGCACCGTGCCTGGCTTCTCACAGAATACAGCAAATGCGATTTGATGTCACATCTGAGATTCAATTATAAACAACTCTGGCAATCCCGCTCGCTTGCTTTCGACTCCCAGCTCCCACTCATGGCAAAGCAGCTGCTATGTATTTCATCTATGGAAAGAGCGATGGGCAAGCTGCTATTGGTAGTCTCTGGCCAATGATCAGTACCAATGATCAGAGACCCTGGTGCTAACAACCCACAGCATGGTGGATGGGACCAGAGAGGACTACTACCTCGGCCTCATGTCACTCACCATCAGAGCCTTGGGAGGGACTCTGGGGAAACTGCAAGGCTCTGTCCATATTCATGACCCGCAGAAGTTTTGAGATAACACGTTATTGCTTTAATCCACAATTGAGGTCATTTGTTAGGCAGCAATTGATCATTTATATGCTACCCCATTGTCAGCTGCTACTAGAAGCGTTCAAAGCCTTCCTGGTCTGCTTACTCTTGCTCTATCAAGGTTTACCTTTGACTTCAGAAAGGTATCCGGATATCAAACATCTGGAACACACAAAGAGGAGTATCTCCTTCCACTCCAGGTCAAAGTGCAAATCCTGAAAATCTAGCCATTTCTGTGTCCCACCCCTGTGTCTGCTCAGTTTCTAAGCCTACTTTGCCTTCTATTCTTTGCTCAGCAAATGCTCGTTTCATCTGATTCCACCTTTTCTTAGCTTTGATCTTCGACTTTTTCTTCCTACAAGGTTGGGCTTTTTTTAAACTTTCCTTCAAATAAAAATACTTCTAATAATTTCAAAACAACTGTCCAGATTCAAGGGCTGCCTGTGATCTTCAAAGCTCCTGACGGCACTGGACCATTCTTGCAGGGAGATAAGGTCTAAATGGAACTCATTGAAGTCAACCTCTCCCAACCTTCTTCCCACCTCATGCTATTCGTGTGCATTGTTCTCTTTGCTCAAGAACTTTTCTCATCCAAACCAACTCTTGTGGTCTTGGTGATGTTTCAAGCTGGGAAGTTTCCCCACCAAGATATTATCTAGGAAATAGAATCTATACAAGTATTTTTTTTTAAGCTCCCAGGAGGCTATATGTTATCTGCAAAGCCCATATAATGTTAACTGAATTGTAAGTCCTGCTGTATAAGTTTTAAATTTTTTCCTCCTCTAAAGCTTCAGGAAGTTATGACCATAAGAGAAATGCTGACAAGGACAGAATTCAGATGTCTCATGAAGCTGAGTTCCTCCCGTACCTTTCAGAGATGCTGTTACATTTGATTCCAGAAGATAAGGGTTAATCATCCTGTAACAGTGACTTAACAATGACTTAGACATGAAAGAACAATGACATTTGTTAACATCTGCACCACTTCTTCTTTATACAGCTGGAATGCTGACTATGACATGAATATGATGCCGGAAACCAGAATTTGTTTTTCAGCTAGCTCCCTTAGGCCCAGGATACACTGGCACAATACCCAAGTGCATGCTGACCCCTAGTGGCAGGTATAAAGTCCTACATGATCTTGAATTCTGAAAAGATACCACCACAGATTGTCTCATATTTTAATCATTAAAAATGACTGGTACAAACTAGTAAAAATAATTCAATGCTCACCAGGAGAGAATTTCTCCAAGGATGATATCTACACACTGGGACAGCAGAGAAGAATTCAAATTGAGTAAAACTCTATGAAGTATAATTTTGAAATTAAGTGATTTAAAAAAAAAAATGGGCTAGAAGAAATTCTACCAGGTCACAGAGGCTCACTCCTGCAATCCTAGCTACTTGGGAGGTTGATATTTGGAGGACCGTGATTTGAGGCTAGCTTGGGCAGAATTCATGAGATCCCCACCTCAACCCATAGCATGGTTCCAGGGCATACACCTGCCACCCTAAGCTATGTGGGAGGTTGGGATTAGGAGGACTGTGGTTCCGGAGCAGCCTGGACAGAAAAGTCAAGGAGACTGTCTCCCCAGAGGGCAGCCAGACATGGTGACAGGCACCTGTGATCCCAACACAGACCAGATGACTACAGTAGGCAGAGCTTGACTCAAGTGCATACCCAGGAGGGAGCCGGGCACTGGTGGCTCATGCCTGTAATCCTAGCTGCTCAGGAGGCTGAGATCTGAGGATCGTGGTTCAAAGCTAGCCTGGACAGACTCCAACAAACCACCAGAAAACCAGAAGTGGTGCTGTGGCTTAAGGGGTAGAGTGATAGTCTTGAGCTGAAGAGCTGAGGGACAGTGCCCAGGCCTAGAGTTCAAGACCCACAACTGACCAAAAAAAAAAAACCAAAACAGTGAAAACAAGGTTGGGGTTGTGGATTAAGTGGTAGAGCATCAGCCTAGCAAATAAGAGGCCCTAGGTTCAACCACTAGGAACACTAAAGGAGAAAAAAAAACCATAAAGGGCGTATTTGTTGGTATATCCAGACTGTCTGCTGTGGTATTGGTTCTAGGACCCCTGTGGATACCTATATCATAGATGCTCAAGTCTATTTTAAAATGGCATATTAACCTATCCACGTCCTCTGATCTCGATTGATTTTACTTCTGCTCCACAGTAGGGCCATGTTGTAGCTCAGAAGTGACAATACTTCCCAGCTTATCCCTCAGAATCCTCTTCCCGAGTCTTTGGGAGTTCACTGAGATTGGTTACTGAGTGTGGCGCTCTCCTCCGCAGTCCAGGAGGTATCCATTCTCTCACTCATCCAGGTTGAAGTCTTACTTTACATGAAGGCTGGAAGGTCTGTGGGCTACCTTGCTGTTAATAACCAAAAGATGGGCTGGAGATGGGCTGGGGGCGTAGCTCAGCAGAAGAGAACTGGCTCTGTATGCTGCAGGTTTAGGGTTCACGCTCCAGCACCCCAAACAACATCAATGGCGACAGTAATAATAAGAGCTTCCAAATGGTGCTATATATTATATTTTTGTCCAAATGTTTCACGTACTTAAGTTAAATCACTCTAGAAATGAGACCCCTTCCCATCCTGTTGAAGACACAAAGGTAGTAAAGATGGGATAAATTAAGAATTGATGTCAGCTCAGTGAGATACTCCAGGAGTGATTACATTAAAAAAAGGATCTTAAAAAGTACACACACACACACACACACACACACCTCCTTACGATCAAACCATTAAGAACCTACTATTGGTATCAGAACAGCAGATTGTTTGAAGTGTACTTTAGCTCTTGAAACTAGGACACATTCTCAACCAGAAACCAGAGTGATTACAAGGATTTGTTTAATGTGATGCATTGAAGCAGTACTGTAAAAAACAAAAACAAAAAAAGTCACACAATTCCTTCCTCTCCCTCCCTCCCTCCCTCCTTCCCCTGCCCCCCTTCCCCCTCTCCTGCTTTCTCCCTCCCTCTCTCTATTCCACTTGCCCCCCTGCCTCTCCCTGTCTCTATCTGTCTGTCTGTCTCTCCTGTTTCTCTCTCTCCACCCCCCCCCCCCCCCCCGCTGCCTTGGATCAAGCAGTTCAGTACACGCTAGGCAAGCTCTGCACCCCCAGATCCCCGCCTTCCCCTCCCCCAGGCAAGCTCTGCACCCCCAGATCCCCGCAGGAACCCCCTTTCTCAAGGGAAGAGTGTACCCCGCACTAACTTCCTGCCCCAACATTCTCATCGCACACCCTGAA